GTATAACGGAAATTCTTGAAAGATACTGCATTTTCTTATACCAAGGTGCCACTTGGTACAGTTGTTCCTTAGAGCCATTTAAACGATTTGACCCGAAGAACACTTGACATTTTCCGTGTGGGTAGATTTTAGAGGGGGTGGGGGTGATTTATTGTAACATTTTTTTAAAAACTAAATATGGCCTAGAGACGAGATCTGGGTGTCGATTTCGTATGATTTTAACCCGAGGATTCCAATGGTAGCGCCAAAAATGCAATCCGGATACCGGAAGTCCGTGAAAAGCCGCCATTTTTAGAAAATGACAGACTTTTGATCGAATTATATTTTTAAGGCACACCGGGTCGTGTAAGGTGTCTAGACCTATGTTTTTGGGGTCAGGGAATTCATTTTTGATAACAAATATAACCTGCTGGCATCGGAACTGCATAAGAGGCTTCCCTACTGCACTTTTTGAAGACGTCGCACGCGGTGAAACCCAAGATATTCCAAAGTTTTAATATATAAACTTATATTATTTTATTTAATAAAAATACACGTTAACAAACATGGGGTAAAAAATGTATAAGCCTATGAAGAATCACCAAGTACATCGCTGACCTCCTCTGAGATTGCGTTATCACCACTGAAAAGGAATTTTACATATAAATATTAAAGGTTCGGTAGTAAATTATATCGAAAGTATACAATATTCTTACCCTTTGTTTGAGCAATCTCCCATACATTTTTGGCATGCAGGGGAACATGGTAATCCGTGTCGCTGCAGCACGAGTTGGAGGAGCACATAAGGAGGGCGGCGTATGTCGCTGGCCATAGGTATCTGGGGATGTGCAAACCAGGTGATGAGAAGCTCTACAACTCCAGAACGACGGGATGGACTTTTGAAGCCAAAGATAGGAAGGTTCTGTAGTCCAAGCTGCCACAAGTATAGAAGTAGTAGGTTATTTTTGTTATCATAAATGAATTCCCTGACCCCAAAAACATAACTCTAGACACCTTACACGACCCGGTGTGCCTTAGAAATATAATTCGATCAAAAGTCTGTCATTTTCTGAAAATGGCGGCTTTTCACGGACTTCCTGTATCCGGATTACATTTCTGGCGCTACCATTGGATTCCTCGGGTTAAAATCATACGAAATCGACACCCAGATCTCGTCTCTAGGCCATATTTAGTTTTTAAAAAAATGTTACAATAAATCACCCCCAACTCCTCTAAAATCTACCCACACGGAAAATGTCACGTGTTCTTCGGGCCAAATCGTCTAAATGGCTCTAAGGAACAGCTGTACCAAGTGGCACCTTGGTATAAGAAAATGCAGTATCTTTTGGTATACGCAATATAAACGTATGGGCAAAAATTGCAAATATACGTTTCTTTACGAATACGTATACGTTTTAAGGAAAGGTAGGGCCAAAAATCGACTCCCTGACAAAACCCCAGACAGAGCAGCAGGCAGCGGGATTCGGATATATCCAAAAGTGTGACTGATAAAGGTTTGATGCAAACCGCAATAATTACATTTTATTAACTTAACATTTTAAAATGTATTTCAGAGTTCCTTAATACTATTTACAAAAGCAGTATTTTATGTCATAATAAAGAAAACAAAGAGACTGACGTAAACATTAGTAATATTTTACAAAATTAAAGCTGCTTATCCAATACAGTACTTACTAGCCAAACAGGAAATAATAATAATCTGGACGAGTCTTTGGAAGATCATGTTATTGTAGCTGAAAGATTTGATTTAATTGAAGCAGGTAAATTTTTGAAGTTTAATAGTGATTGTCAATTACTGTTGTCAGATCATAGTAGTGACAAATAGCGCTTTAAAGTTATTTGGTTGCAAAATCGGTACATTGAACAGTGATAATGGTTTATTCACTTGCTGAAAGAGTTGAAATAATTTCTCTTTTTTTGCGAACAATGAAAATGCTAATAGCTCTGCTCAGCTCTTTAATCTACACCAGAATCGACAGGTCCATCGTAGGTAAGTACATTTTGGAATTACGAGTAGTTCAAAAATTTAAGGGTCTGGGGCTAATAAAAAACCTGAAATGGATAATCCAGTAGTAAATGGTTTCAGAAGTGGCCATTGGGCCATATTGTTGCAAGATCCCACGCTGAGCACAAGGAAATTGTCAACAGTATCTGGTATTAATAGAAGCAGCAGCATTCAGAAGATATTAAAAAAATACAACTTTCATCCGTACAAAATACATCTCGTACAAGAACTAAACGAAGACGATTTTGATAGGCGAGTACAAAATTGTGAAACTATAGCTGAACAAGCCATAAATGATCAACACTTTCTGTTTAATGTATATTTTCCTGACACATGTGTAAGGTAACAATGTACCCGGGACGCAAATTTCCGTTTCCTATACAAAATGGTGATCGGTTGCACGAACTCGTATAGGATATGGAAGCAGCGAATGTTTTTACATATCCTATCCGATTTCGTGATTTGCTAGCGGAATATAGCATATTTGATAAACAGTGTCAAGTTATAAAAGAAGTGAAGTGAAGAAGACGCAAAGAAAAATGTAGAACTGTGAACAAAATTTAGACCCGAATTTTGCGAAGTAGATGCAGTTAACTGGATCAAAGGTTATTCAAAAGTTACAAAATCAAACTGGATTATCCAACGGAATTACCAAGATCCAAAAAAATCGTAAAATATTTCTTACTTTTCATTATTTTTTGTCTGTATCCAAAATACCTTTTATTACTTAGTTCCAATGTTTTGAAAATGCAAATCAGGATACTGCAATGTTCACATTACGCATAATTGACCACGATCACGAAATCGGATAGCATATGTAAATACATTCACTACTTCCATATCCTATACGAGTTTGTGCCACCGATCACCATCTTGTATAGGGAACGGAAATTTGCACCCGGGACTTTATTTATGGAGCGTGTAAACTCTTCTTTACAAAGTTACTACATTGTCAATCACTAAATGTCGCTAACTAACCATAACAAGTTGTCATTTCTACTTCCTATTCTCCATCCAAAGCTGTCTAACCGCAAGCCGGAAAATACAAGTATAACAAGAGCTTCAGCTTTCAACAAAGTCAATGTGGAAGATATGTTTGAGAATTATGCGATAGTGCAAGAAAAATATTATTTTTCACCGGATCGTATTTGGAATACAGACGAAACGGGTGTTACAACTGTCCTCCAAGCACTCAAGAGTAATAGCAGAAACAGGATCGAAAGCAGTAGGACAATGTGTATCTGCCGAGAGAGGATCTCTAGTCACAATGTGTGGAATCGTTTCAGCTATTGGTGCTTTTCCCCCTCTCTTTATATTCCCTCGTATAAGAATGAAAGATCAGTTTCAGTCAGGTGCTGTTCCGGGGGCCGTTGGTTTTGCTGAGAAATCTGGGTGGATGTCGGCAGACATATTTATTTGTTAAATTATTGGAGCACATTAAAAAGCATACACATTGTAAGCTCATCGAATAGGATTCTCCTGCTTTTAGACAATCATGAGACACACGTCTCTTTAAATGCCATTTTGTACGCAAGAGAACATGGAATTGTACTGCTATCTTTCCCGCCGCATTGTACCCATAAAATTCAGCCCTTGGACAAGGCGGTGTATTTTCACCCTCGCCTTTTTTGCAATATTGATGCATTTGTTAAGCTCAATTTACATTATGCTTTTTCCGTCTAGAAAACTTTGACTAGAACTTGTACTAGATTCCACGCTATACTAGAAATTTAAATTTACCGCTCTTTGGTGCTTTGACTTTTCAAGGTTAAAATTTGTTACTCAATTCCAATTACAGTGTTCCCAATTTCGAAAAACAAATCTCAATATTGTTCATTTTGATTTGAGGTTAATTTAAATTGTTTGGAACCAAACATGAATAAAAAGCAAAGAGAAGTGGAAAAGTTACGGAAAATAAAGAAAATTTTGGAAATCTACGCATTCTGTACGCACAAAAAACGTAGAATATGGAGCAGAGAGTGGTTACAACGACGTGACGGGCTAAATTTGGGAGCATGTACATTTGTCTCAAAGGAGCTCCTGGAGGAAGATAAAACTTCTTACCAAAACTGGTTACGTATGGGTAATTTAACGTTTGAAAAATTGCACTCCTTTATTGAGTTACGTTTTAAAAAACAAGATACACAGTTTCTCCAATGTATTCCCTCAAGAGTTAGATTGATGGTTACTTTAAGATTCCTCGCCACTGGTGAAACATTTCAGTTTATCCTATAGCGCACGTATTGCCACATGCACCATTTCTCAGTTTGTGCCGGAGGTTTTAGAGGCAATCTACGAGGTACTAAAAACCAACTATTTGAGGGTAAGGAATTTCAATAAACGTTCAATTATAATAGACAATTTCTTGTCTGTATGTATAGATTCAAACACTCCCTGCAGAATGGGAAGAAATTGCAACTGGATTTTTCAACGATTGGGATATTCCAAATACAATTGGGGCAATGGATGGTAACATATTGTGTTTCGGCCTCCGAGAAGTGCAGGGTCCCATTACTACAATTACAAAGGAACACACAGCATAGTTTTGCTGGCTATTGTAGTCGCTAGTTATAATTTTATCTATGGTGATGTTATTATTATTATTATTATCCCTCTCTTGTTTTTTGGAGGTACTATTTTAATTAACAAAGATACTTTTAACCACACCAGTTTATTTTAATATAATTTATTTCAAGAGTGTGACTTTGCACTTGCACTGGATAGACATACATTAAACCTTCCAGAAGACAAACCCCTTCCGGGCATGATAGAACCAGTCCCGCATGTCATTCTAGCAGATGCTGCTTTCCCACTGCAACGACATATTTTAAAACCGTATCCCTTTAAACATATGACAAGAGAA